TGTTCCAGGCTTGGCTAAGCAGGTGTGAATGAATATTCCTAGGAAAAAAAAAAAAGAGGGATTCAAGTTTGAAATATTTGAAGCTGGTGAAATATATTAAGGAAATGGAGGTGTAGAAGTTAATTAAGAAAAAGAAAAAAGGCCCAATGCTATTTCAGTTCAGCCATTTATTATTATTATTATTATTATTATTATTATTATATAATAAATAAATTTCTAAATTCTAAAGTTTCAGAAGAGCTTGATTTTACCTTGATGCCATTTATCACAACACAAGGAATGTGGGCTATGAGAGGCCAATGCTCTCCTTTTTCCTGAAAACGCTCACTTTTTAGACACGGACACCCTGAGATCAAGAGTCGTTCAAGCAATGGAGGCAGGCCCTTTCTTGGCAAGGATCGTAGCATTGGGCAGTTCAAAATCAATAATTCTTTAAGAGAGTTAAGGTTTTGGAGTAGCCTCTGGGAATGGATTTCAGATTTTGGACGTCATATATCCAAAGATCCTTTAAAGAAGGAAGCCCATTGATAGCAACCAAACCAGAAATGGAGATTAGAAAAGAAGAAATAGGGATTCAGGAAAGAATTTAGAAGAGAAGCAGAAGGATGAAGGAAGAAAACAATAGAGAAGAGGAGAGAAGTCGAGAAGGAGAGGAAGAACCATATATTCATTATTCATCAAAATTCCTTTCAGTTACATCGACTTGGCCTTTTATAGCCGCTTTACATGCGTACAATCTCTGTTAGCCTAGGTACAACCTTATCACAGCATATCTAGAATGGGTATGCATCACCCATTATTTGGAGGACATATCCGAGCAATGGAGAAGAAGAAAAGAGAAGCGAGGGTATGGATTTCAGACTTCTTTTTTTTTCTTTTTTATTTTTTCCTGTGAGACTCAAAATGGCATTTATAATTCCAGACATTTGTGTTGAGGATAAATTTTGAAATTAGTCCTGGGTAACAATTGTTCAGAGTTCCACATAATTCAATAAGCTATCTATAGCATTCATGTTGCAGAAGCAAATATGAATAAATGAAAATAATAGTGTGAGATAACACAACCTATTACCTTGAAAGCTATCAAGTCCACGCGGAGCTGCTGCAAATAGAAAATATTGGGATGTCCTATCAAACTGCTGCACTCTCTGCATCCATGTAAAAGTGAACAAAGAAATTTAGATTTCGCTTTCGAAAACAAAGTAGAGTCGCTCCAAGAGCTCAACATTTTTTTGTGGAATCTTTTGTACATTATGGAATATTAATTTAGGGTAAATTATTGGGAATCCCTAAAACAATTGACCTAAAATGAACTGTGAGGTACAGAAATAAACCACTGGCCAGCTCATAACATTGACATAATGGTTTCTTGGCATTGCATTGTCTTCTACCTCAAGTTCATTCCAGATTTGACCTGCAATTGTAAATGGATATCTAAATTAGCTGACTTGTGCTAGAATCAAATTACTGAAAAATCTCATTTGAACCTGTTCTAGGCTTGGCTAAATCGGTGTGAATGCATATCCCTAGAAAAAAATAGGGATTCAAGTTTGAAATATTTGAAGCTAGTCAAAATTCAAGGTATAAACCCTACTTGCCTGAAGCACTCAATTCAATCACGAGAGGAAAACAAAATTTCAGTTGCAAGAGGATATTCTGCTTATTGCAGGATAACATGAAAGAGAAATTGGAGATGCTGGCAACAACTAACAAAAGCCTCTCCTTTTATTTGACAAATTTATTTATAAATTCTGAGTTTAGAAAGAGCTAGATTGTATACCTATATGTTATCACAACGCGGGGAATGTGGGCTATGAGAGGCCAATACTTTCCTTTCTCCTGAAAACGCTTTCTTTTTAGAAGCGGACAGTCATGGATATCGAGTTCTCCCAGCAATGGAGGTAGGCCTTCTCTTGGCAAGGATTGTAGCTTTGGGCACCTCCAGATCCCTAACAGTGTAAGAGAGTTAAGGTTTTGGAGGAGGCCTCTGGGTATGGATTTCAGATTCTGAACGGCATATATCCGAAGAATGGTTAAAGAAGAAGGAAGCACATTTTTTGGAGGACATAAATGACCAATGGAGAAGTGACCAAGAGAAGTGAGGGTGTGGAGGCCCCATTCTCGCATAGGCTGCTTCAAATTCTCACAACTAATTGAAAGATGAGTTAGGCTTGGGGGCAAACCCCCTTCAGGAATTGACTTGATGCCTGGACACCCATTTATAATCAAGCCTTGAAGCGACGTGAGGTTGTCCATCTTATTTGGTAGGGACTTGAGGTTTTGACAATCACATATATTAAAAAATTTAATATTGGGGATAGATAAGCTCAACTTCGGCATCTCCTGGAAGGACTCTAAAGCATCACATCCTGCAATGGATAAAAAAGTGAGATTGCTGAGGCCGTCGAAGGATAAGCTTTTCAAATTCACACAATTGCAAATGTCCATCGTTTCAAGTCTTGTACAATGTTGCAGCATCCTCTCTGAAATTGATTCCAACCTGTGCCAATCATAAATAAGTTTCAAAATGCTTTAAAATAGTAGCCACTAACTGATCTTATAACTATGAAAAATATTTTTAAAATTTAGAGAGAGGGAAGTTCTGTGCTTTTGCAAAACAATATACCTGAGGCAATTTTCAATTTTAAATTTCTTAAGAGCAGCTGGTAATCGATCGTCACTAGGAATAAAATTTAAAGATGAAAGTCTTATGACTTTCAAATTTTCAATATTGTTGCTGTCGTCACCATCATCTTCTTGCACCAATATTCCCTTCGGTAAAGACTCTACTTTGGCACAACCTCCTATCTTTAAGAGTTGACAAGTGGCCGGTAACTTCCCTCTTGGAAAACGTTCTAGACAAGGACAATCCTCAATTCTCAACTCTTCAAGTCTCACCATGTTGTTGCTTCCATCTGCCCTCATCATCATAACATCAGGTAAACACTTCAAAGCCCCACAATTATACAGAGAAAGATATTTGACATTGGGAGGCATGAGGCCTTGTTCTCCCCATGATATTGACACAAGCAGAGGGCACTCCTCAATTTCCATACGTTCAAGATGAGCAAGGTTTGATGTATCCGCTCCTTCCTCCCACAAATAGGTAAGCTCCTGGCACCTTTCAATCTCTATATTCTCTAACGCAGTCAAGGAATCTGTAAAACTCTTGGGCAAGCAACCAAGTCCCAAAATATCTGAAATTTTCAACATTGTGAGCGACGTCAAATTAACCATGCTCTCCAGAAGTACTTGCTTGCAACCTGCAATGCATAGTTTTTCAAGACATGGAAGACTTAAAGATGAACATGTTAACTCTGGGCATCCCCTTATCACAAGATTAGTGAGAGAAGAAAGGTTGCTGGGTAAATTTCCCATCAGCTTAGGACAATTTGCAATCTCAAGGTCCTTCAAACATGAGAATTCTACTCCAGTGCTAGTCAGAAAAGCCCATTTCTCCCAGTTTAACATGCTGTGAAACTTAAGGATCTGCAAAGATGTAAAAGCACCATGCCCATAAAACTCAGAATCAACAGTCTCAATTGCGTCCATGCCTTTAATAATCAACTCTCTGAGTGCAGGTAATTGCCCAACTGATGGCAACAAAGTGCTGTTTCTACAACCAGACAACCTCAAATAGAACAAATGGCAAAAAAATTGATCACCAATCCAAGATGGAAATCGCTTACCACCATAGCAACTAATTGTCAACTTTTTCAAATTTGGATGAGGTCTTAAAGAGCTGAGTACTTCTGCTTCAATATCACTTCCCTTTCTTGAATCATCAAAATCAGCAGTCCAATTTAACTTCAACTCATCTAGAGCTTCAATCATGTGTATGTTGGATTGCATGGCATCTAAATTGTCAGAAACATTTTGTAGATCCAGAAAAGATAGATACCCTCGAAGATGTAACAAGTTCTTCACATCACTTAATCTCAGCCCATTGGTTTTCCTAACTATGAATTTGGGCAATATCAAAAGATTTTTGAGATTAGCTATTTCATGCGGCATATCTATCAAAGATGGTGTATTGGTAATATCAAGATAACGAAGGTCATTCAAGTTCCCAATTGTTGCAGGAAATTTGGAGAACTTTGCACAATTCTGTAACAACAATGTCTGTAATGACAGAAGGAAACCTATGGATTCAGGTAAGGTTTCTATGGCAGTTTTAGACAAATTAAGGTATCGCAAACACTTCAAATCTCCAATTGAATCTGGAAGCTTTCTTATGTTATAACTTCGAAGAGACAATGCCCTCAAGCATGTTAACTTCACTAACCAATCATGCATCACAGTAATTGATAGATTATTTGTGAATGGTGATGAATTAATGGGAACGAATGCTCTCAGACCCTTCATTTTGTTCAAAACTTCAAATCTCTGAGAGGTATCAAGCCATTTACAATGAAATGAAAAATGGCGAACCTTTTCAAAATTTACTTCTTTCTTTGCTTCCAATATATTTTCAAGATTGCAACATGTTTCTCCAGCGATGTATTGAGCTAAATCATGTATGAGGTCATGCATTACATACCTCGATTCATCATTGCTTGAGTGTTGGAAGAATGATCTAGAAAGTAGCTCAGAGAAATACTGATGACCAATGTCTTCAGTTTGATTTTCTTCTCCTGGATGTTTTTGCAAGAGCCCCTCTGCCATCCACAAGAAAATTAACTCCTCTTTGTTGAATTGGTGATCCTTCGGAAATATTGCACAATAGGAAAAGCATTGCTTCAAATGAGAAGGAAGATGATGGTAACTCAACATCAAAGCTGGAAGAATGCCGTTTTTGTCTCCCTGTAGATTCCGCATCTTACTTTTTAATATGTATTTCCATTCACGAGGGTGTCGCTTACCACGTAAGAGGCCTCCAAGCATTTTTGCAGCCAAAGGCAATCCTTTGCACATTTTAACCATTTCCTGACCAACATCTTTCAAACCTGGGTGTGCATCAAAGTTCTCTACTCCAAGTGCCTCTTGGGCTAATATTGATAAGCACTTATCATCCTCAAGTACTTTTAGTTGGTAAATACTATCCTTCCCGCCCATGATTTCTGCAACATGCTCGTTGCGAGTTGTGACGATTATTGTGCTTCCTGGTGCTCCTGATTTGAAAGGGACTTTTAGGTTATCCCATCGATTGCAGTCCTCATTCCAAACATCATCCAGTACGAGTAGAAACTTCTTGTTCGACAGCTGTTCTTTCAACTTTTCTTGAAGCAAATTCAAAGTCAGGTTTTGCAGATCACAACCTCCCTTAGTTAATTCTATTAGAATGTTTTTTGTGATGCTCTTAACTTCAAATTGATCAGAGACACAAACCCAGGCTTTGCGCTGAAAGTTTTTCTGCTCTGCCGCCCCGTAAACTTGTCGAGCTAGAGTGGTCTTGCCAATACCTCCCATCCCAACAATGGGAAGAACACAATACGCCTCCGAACCCCCTTCCCCATTGAGCAACTTTTGAAGAATGGCCTCTTTATCATCTTTTCGACCATAAACCTGCGATTCAGGTTGAGGGGTAGTGGTTACCGGTCTTGTAGCTGCTCTGTCAAGCTTCTCTCCAGCTTGCATTGTGGAACTCACTAGGCTCAAGGTCTGCGATCGTTTTATCATTTTTTGCAATCTCTCAGCTATCAGCTTCACTTTAGAAATGGTATCGGAGTCAAACACAAAATCATTGGGTTTGAAACAAGGAAAGCATTTGAGGGTGAATTCGCTGGTGCAACCCTGGTGAGGTTTTGCCATCACAGTGCTCCTCTGGACATCAGCGCGGAATCCATCGAGAACGTCCTCCATATCATAAGCCAAGTCCCTGAGATCATGAAGCCATA